TCGGTCCATGTCCTCGTACCTTCTTCTTCCTCTTCTTTGGTTGATTGTGGAGAAGGTATTAGCACTTATCTCTTCTTAAATATTAGATTCTGTTTATTATAAGCCGGAGTAAACTGCTTCGTTGTAAGCGATACCTCTGATCTCAAGACAATATAAGTGATAACTGGGGTGTGTTCGTGGAATATTTTATTTTCAGCTGCTTAATATGGCTTTGCTATTAATTATTTTGCAAGCTCCCTCACAAATGGTTTCAGAGGTCACAAACCCTTGTTTCTTCAACACTTTTCAGTTTGTCCTTTTCCCTTGATAGTTTCTGTAATTAATAAGGCCGTACCTAATATAGTGTCTTATGTGTAATGATTCATTTTGTTATTCCCAAGGTGATCAACATTCTCCTCGTACAAAACCGAATGGTGTATAGGCTGCCTGGATCAAAAAGTCATAATTAATTCCCGGAATACATCACATCTGCCGATTATACCTCTTCAAATGGTGATTTAAATTACATTTTCCCAAATATACTATAGATAACTATGCCTGCCTTCGGAACAGTAAAAAAAAAGTGCGCTGTCAATGGCTGGACGTCTTGATTAATATCTCTGTCCATCTTCATGTAAGGCCAGTTTGTAGGTTTATTAACCACTTAGAATTTACCACATTCTGTTTTGAGACTGTAATTCTTAATTATGTAGGCTATGAGGCCACGCTAACTTATCATCTTCAAAAACTTTCCTTCATGACAAGTCAACTTTATTGGTTTAAGTACTGTTTGCGTGGCTCTGCTCAGACAGTGTGCGGCCCCTGAACCTTTATTGTGAATAGAAGAACACTACATTATTAGAAGCTGGTAAAAAAACCCCACATTTAAATTTTTAGAGCAGTAGTTACCAATATGCCAAAATTGCGCTCAAACGATTTATGTAGATTGTTTCTGCCAGGAGTTACAGTTCGGCATGAGAACAGCATGTACAGATTAAGGAACCTCGATCATCTGTTTTAACGATATGTGGCTTATGTGTGCATGCCACCGAACTTCGGGTGCTCCATGCCCTAGGATAATCCCAGGGCTGCCGAAAGCAATTGTGTTATGGTGAGTGGATTCTTTTAAAGAGAAACTAGTAGGCATGATTTTACGCAATATTTCTGTTGATTGTGCTTACCCAGGACTAACTTTCGGACACCAGTCTGGCTATCTTTTCCTTGGATAGGCCGATGACCTTTGCGTCCCCAAATGCAAAACTGTGTTGCTCCTGTCCGCTTTGGCTATACACTAGAAAAAATCTACCCCCGTGGTTGACTGCCAGCTGGTATTTATGTAATTTCGAGGGACCCCGATGGCGAGAAAGAGAAGCTAGTGGTATCGTAATTCAAACTTCTGGTCGTGCGGCTGGCTGTAGCTTGTTTCTATTCGTTTGTTAACGTTTGCACACAAATGCGTTTGTGGCATGATAGCTGTTTTCTACAGTAGCTCGGGATTTGGCGCGTATTTGTGGCCTACCTATACATAGTCGTGGTGGGGCTCCCATTAGGTTTTTGGAGGAGAACGTCTAGGAATGGCCGTTGGTTGTTGTTTTCAGACAGGATTGTTAACTGGATGTCAGGGATAAAAATAATGTAGGGGTTCGTTGAATTGCTTGACCAGTTCCGCTCAGTAATGACAAATGTATCATTAACATATCGAGTCCAAAACGTTGGCCTATAGTTTGCGAACGCGAGAGTCTCTAATGTTTGAATTACTGGCTCAGCGGTGAAGCTTGAGTGTGGTGATCCCATCGAAGTTCCCTTGACTTGTTCCTACATTGCTACTTTGAAGGCGAAACACTTGTTGAGTCC